CCCATCGGTGTTTGCCATCGGGATTGGGTTCTCGTCGCTTGACAACGACGTTGGAAAACAAGCCAATTCACTTCGTGAACTCGACAACCAGGCTACCGTTTCCTTTTTACCTCTGTTCTTTTTTGGCGGTAAACATAGTGGTGGTCGAGTGGATCATGTTGTGCGGGGTGGAGAACCCTCACTCCGCGCAAGGGGAATGATCGCACCACGTTGTCTTAAAATGGACAAGCATCCTCGAGGCAGTTACACAGTGCTTATTACTGCCTCTGGAAGTGAAAGCACCAGAAAATATATTATGTCATACGCAGCTGTCATCCGTACGCAACGAAGTAAGTACCAGATGCCGAACACCCGTAGCAGGGTGCAGCGCACCCTTCATGCGACTCGCCGAATACCTCACGGCGCTTCGCGCTTGGTAATTGTTGTTGTTGTTGTTTCTCACATTAGCTCTTATTTTTTTTATTATTGGGAGCCCGTGGTCTCAAAACCCAGCATACACGACCCCACGAAGAAANATAAGAGCCTGGTCCGGTGAGAACCCGGCGTGCCCCGTCCCGGCTTTATAGGGATGCGAGGTCAATGGTCTAGCGACTACGGCATGCACGACCATGAGTATACCCCCCCACCCCCCCCACCCCCCCCCGGTGTTTGCCATCGAGGTTGGGTTTTCGTCGCTTGGCAACGACGTTGTAAAACAAGCCAACCCCCCCCGGTCCCCCCAATTCTAGACTAAAGAGGTTGGCGCTGTTGGCAAGGCGCTGTAAAACACGCCACCCCAAATATAGCCCCCATAGTATGCGCTACCAAAGACGCGTGACGCATGGATGCGTGGAGTGAGGATTGCTTACGAAAACCTCACAGGTTGAGTGATGTAGGAGATTGCCGGACACATAGACGTGTTGAGTGATTATAGCTGTATACTGAAACCCCACGGAAAGGGGAGGNTTTCTTTTTACCTCCGTTTTTTTTTTTTGCGGTAACCACAATGGTGGTCGAGTAGATCATGTTGTGCGGGGTGGAGAACCCTCACTCCGCGCAAGGGGGATGATCGCACCACGTTGTGTTAAAATGGTCAAGCACCCTCGAGGCAGTTACACAGTGCTTACAACTGTCTCTGGAAGTGAAAGCACCAGAAAATAAATTAATTCATACGCAGCTGTCATCCGTACGCAAGGAAGTAAGCACAAGATGCCGAAAACCCTTAGCAGGATGCAGCGCACCCTTCATGCGACTCGCCGAATATCTCACGGCGCTTCGCGCTTGGTGATGTGAGAGCCTGGTCCGGTGAGAACCCGGCGTGCTCCGTCCCGGCTTTGTAGGGATGCGAGGTCAATGGTCTAACGACTACGGCATGCACGACTATGAGTACCCCCCCCCGCGACCCCCGGTCCTGGAGTGCACCCCTATCATTCTACATAATAACCCGACAAACCACAAAGGCACAGCAGTTTGGCTGTAAGAAAAACCAATGACGTCTGAGGCTCATTTGACGCCTCTTGACATACATTCAAACACGTAAACTCGGCAAGCAAGGCAAGAAGCAGTTTGGTGCTGCCGTGAGACTTCTCGCAGAAAATCGAAGCTGTTTCCCACCACCCGAACGCCCCATCGAAAGTTCCTTTCAAGGCGATCATCTCAAGTCGCGAAGCAGCAGCAAAAACGATCAGTAGTCCTCCAGGCTCGGGGACAGCATTTCAACGTCCCCAGGGTTCCGGAAAAACACCTCTAGACACCCCCCGCCCCCTCAGGCGTGTGTAAACANAGCATCAGCAAAAACGATCAGTAGTCCTCCAGGCTCGGGGACAGCATTTCAACGTCCCCAGGGTTCCGGAAAAACACCTCTAGACACCCCCCGCCCCCTCAGGCGTGTGTAAACAAGCTGAAGTGTCACAAAGCAGCAGCAGGAGCGGATGGGATAGTCGACGAGTTTATGAAGCTTGGGGGCAAGGGGATGATCCAGCTGATGGTACTGCTGTACAATTGGGTGTGGAAAAACGAGTATATGCCAAGTAGATGGAGGGAAGGAGGAGTAGTTGTGAACTTGTTCGAGAAAGGAGACAAGACTGACCCAAGAAACTACAGGGGGGTCACACTGTTGAACACCGTAGGAAAAGTGTCCTGTAAGCTGCTGAACGATAGGATAGTGGGAATATTGAAGAAGGAACATAGCATTAGTGAGGGCCAGGCAGGTTTCCGCAAGAAGAGGGGGTGCGTAGACCACGTATTCCCGGTAGGGAGAATCATCCCAGGTAGAAAGAGGGCGGGAAAGCCGACGTACTGCTTCTTCCTGGACGTGAAAAAGGCATACGACACCGTGTGGAGAAATGGGTTGTGGAAACAACTGTCCAAATACGGGATCAAGGGGAAAATGTGGAGAGTGCTGAAGAAGATGACAGAGTGCACGAAAAGCGCGGTCATGCTAGNTCCCGACATTGTTCCAGGTGTTCATCAACGATCTGTTGGAAATCGTAGAGGCAGTCCGNTTCGGGATCAAGGGGAAAATGTGGAGAATGCTGAAGAAGATGACAGAGTATACGAAAAGCGCGGTCATGCTAGACGGAGAACTGTCGAAATTCTTCGACATTGAGCAGGGGTCCCACAAGGTTGCACGCTGTTCCCGACATTGTTCCAGGTGTTCATCAACGATCTGTTGGAAATCGTAGAGGCAGTCCGGAAGGGAGAAAAAGTAGGGGACACGGAAACATCGGTTTCAGGAATGCTGTTTGGGGATGCTTTGTCGGTATGTCGGACACCCCTGAGGGACTGCAACTGCAAATTGACGCGGCGAAGAAGTTTACTGATTAGTGGAGATTGTCTGCCGACGTTCAGAAGAGTGACGTCATGGTATGCAATGAGAACAAGGAGGAACTAGCTGAACATAGATGGAAGTGGGGGATCGAGAAGGGGTTCAAGGAGAAGATATCTGTTGCTTGTGCCGAGAGAGAAGAACAGAATTTAAGGAAAGAATCCAAGAAAAGTAGGGTCTAGAAGTGTACGGAATGTTGAAGGAAGGAATAGGGGTCAAGGATTACCTACATGGACCATTGGATGCAGGAACAAAGCTTAACGTCAAATTCAGGACCGGGGACATGGGCCTTCGAGAACGTCGACGAAGACGCAGGACGGTAGACGACGAAGCGACGAGTTCAAATGTGATTGCGGCTTCGAATGCGAAGACCGTGTTCATGTAGTCGCGGAATGTCCATTGTACCAGAAGAAGAGGGAAGTGTACGTGACTGAGCTGGAAAAAATAGATGAAACGTACGGGGAGATGTTTGAGGCATGGAATAGAGAGGAAAGGACGGTAGCTGTACTGGGGCATAGGAGGTGGGTTGAAAAGGCGGGAAGGGATATCGTTAGGATAGACAGACTAGGGAAGACATTTTTGAGCCACCTTTGGCAAAGTAGAAAGGAACGATTGGCCATCGGTGATCGGTCCTGTGGGAACAATGCTCCGTCCTCTCGAGGACGCGTGGTCAATGGTCTAACCGCTAAGGCATGCAAAACATAAGAGTCCCCCCCCCCTCCACTTGCCTCCCGTGGCAAGCTCCAACACTACTCCCAAAAGCACAATCCCCAAAAGCACAACATGCAATTCCTGGGATGCATATCGGCACCTAGACGCTCAAATGGCGTTTGCTGTACATCTGACTGGAATAATTCATCCACGGCGTAGACTAGTCCTGAAAAAAAAGACAACCGTAGAGCATCTAGTCTAAACATCAACGATTGGTGTCGGGGTCCGTTGCCTTCCTCGAGAAGAAACGGGGGCCGCCGCCGGAGGCGGCTGAACCAAGGGAACCGCCTCCCCACTCGGCCGTCCCGCTCCTCCTTGGACGCGAGCACCCCCCCCCCCCCCCCCCCCCCCCCCC